ACCCTTGCATCCCAGTCTCTAGGGATGCTGTAAAATGCAGATTCTCAGGCACCACTTCACACCTCCTGGATCGAATTTCCTGGTGGTTGGGTCTCAGGAGTCTACTTTTATTTTGATAAGACTGCCAGTGAACACTGAGATGGAGAACTCCGTGAGGCTGGGGCCCCCGGCCTTGCCCGCAATAGTCTTCTCTGTGGCGGTCCACTCTGGGTGAGCAGTGGCCCGAACTGTGCCATGCTGAAGAGCACAGCCAACTCCTCATCTCTGTGTGCTCAGCCTGGGGGCTCCGGCATCTTCTGAGCCCTCCCTCAGCCTCTGCCTTGAAAAGGAGAACACTTGCTTTTCTCGCAATACTGCACATTTTCCCATAATGAAGCAATCTTGTTCCTTGGTTTTTCTCATTTTATAATCTTGTTTGAGGTTTTGGCTTAAAATATATTTTTTCAATAGCTTTTTTAAATGTTTTATGACTACAGAAATAATGCACACTCATTTAAAAAATTTATATATGTGGGAGGCAGACAAAGAAAAAGGGGCATCATATTGCCATTGCCAAAGATGACCACTAGTGACATTTTGATGTATTTCCTTCTAGTCTTTTCTAGGCATATTTAGTTATTATAATCTTGTTTGATCCTCACCTTTACTCTGGTTTTGTCGTCAGTCCTTATTTAGCCATTTCCCCATGTTAAACTCTTAATACCCCATTTTCATGAACTGCAAATACTGGTAATCAAAGAAAAGCAAATTACTAAAAGATGATACAGCATTTTCATCTATCAAATAAGTAAACTTATTTTGTTTCAAGTTTTCAATGAGAATACCAGATGCTGCTGAAGATGTGAGAAAACTGGTGCTCTCATACACAACTTATGGGAATATGCAATTTGACAAAACTTAAAGACCCTCAAATGTGATTCTCCCTTTTGCCCCAGTAACTCCACTGGGCAGAATGTACTACTAAGTAAGGAGCAAACCACACACAGAGATGCAAGTAATAGTACATAGCTGCCTTCTGGGTTGTTGTGAGTGTTAATTCATGTAAGTACTAGAATCCTCTAAGTGTTTAGCTATTTGCACAGTGAAAAAATTATATTTGAGTAGTCGAAAGATAATTAGGGAACCACCAATAAGTCCAATGTTGGGAATGGGAAGGAAATGCTGATCCAGCTACCTGACTGCATTTTATGCAGCCATTAACAATGATGTCTCTAAAGAGTTTAATTTGTTTTCACCTGCTGCAGTACACTGTATACTCCCTGTATTTGCAGTATGAATCCGGGGCCTGCTTGGAGAAACACTTGCAGCTGCCCATTTGGAGATGCTGCCCTTCATCTGCTCCTGGCTGGGCTGGCAGGCGGAGTGTTCTCCATGCCCAGGCTGACATTCGGCGCTTCTCCTAGCCCTGCTGTCACTCTGCAGACTTACTTCCGTGCAGCAGAATCAACGACCTGAACTCTGCTGCTGTCTCACCTGGACCTGTTCCTCAGTTGGGGGTCTGTGATTATGAACATTCTCTTTCCTTAATGTGGTGAATACGACCACTCACGCCACCTGGACACATGAACTGAACCACTTTTCCTGCAAATGCATTGACAAATTTTCCCACAAACATCGGCAAAGACCCGTCTCTCTTTAAAAGTCACTTTTCATCTCTTTCCATTATCCTCATGGGTCTTTGCACCAATTTTGTTGTTTCTGACATTTTTTGAGGTAAAACCGAAAATGTTTTTTGGGAGGTTGTGAGTTATTTTAAGGACACCCAGGCAAAACTGTACAGATAAGTTAAAAGACTTCCTAGGAGAATCAGATTCTCAATGAATCTAAGTCCCAGCCATTCTGGGCAGTGACTTCTCTGGAATTCTGCTTCCCAAACATGTTGGGACAGATTCTCATTTGACCGCGGTGTGACGGAAAATTCCAGCTGATGTCTTTATACCAATGGTAATATGATCCAGTGCCTGGGTAGCACTTGGCATGGAATGGGGGCTCATACTTCCGGAGCCCTATTTCCCCCCGCCGTGCCTCTGTCCCCACCACACTGCTCTGCAGGAAGCCAGGCCTCCGGCGGGAGTGCATACCCACCGCTTCATCGAAGCCCATGTAGAGGAACTGCTGGTACCACTGTTGGACCTCCGGCCGAGTCCGGTCCCAGAGCTGCCGTTTCTGGCGCTTCAGGCTGCTCAAGAATTCCTTAGCTTTGCTCTCGTCCACAGCCACTTTAGTCTTAGTTGGAGCAGGTGCTGAAATGATTAATTCCCCACCCCCAAAGTACAAAGAATGATTTCTTTTCTTATTGGGGTGAATCACTATCATATATCCCACTCCCCCAATCCCACCAGGCCTAGGATGGTTTTACGCTCAACTTCATTCCTACACGGCCCCTCATCACCGGTCTTCACGCTCCTCGTTGGTAAGCTCTCCTGTTTGGGTAGAGCCACATAAAAGCCCAGGGGCTCACCTTCACCTTCCAGGGCACGTAGAAACGAAGCTCAGCTCAGCCTCTGCAGCCACTCCCCATGCCCAGGGGCTCGTGGCTCACCCCTTGGGCTCTGCATTCAGAGAACAACTGGACGTCGAGTGCCACACTGGTGTGTATTGACTGCATACACAAACAGGAGAGCGCTGTGCTTGCGTAGGAGACCAGGGAGGGAGAGGAACTGGAACCACGAGCCCTGAGCGCGCCGAGACCAGGCCCAGCCCAGTGGGATGGCCAGTTCCCCCAGCAGGTGGCGGGAACACACAGTGCCACCTTGGGCCACTCACTGGGCCTCCCCGTCTGATCACTGGCGATTTGACTGGGTCTCGACGGGTACCGACCCTGCTTTAATGCAGCTTCCTCTAACGCCTTTCCGTGGTGGTCTGCACCGTGTAAAAGGCACTACTTCTGCAGGATGTGCTCGGAGAGCAGCCGTGCCACTGGGCTGGCCCCTGCTGTCCGGCTTTGAGCCTCCGTCCCCTCATCTGTGACACTGGACTGCTCAGCACACAATCCCTGTGGGGGATTTCTGAGGGGCCAACTGGGAAGTATGTGAATAAGCCCCAGGGGGGCCCCATGTTGAGGAGCAGACTTCAGCCTTCCAGAATCCCCCATTCAGCAGGGGGCAAGAACAAGTGATTAAACGTTCACATCAGAAATGTGGTCACACTTCCTCGTGAGGGATCGGTAACTTCTTAATTTTACAGGTGAAGATGAACGTTCCCAGGGGGAAAAGGGCTTTCACGAGACCACACAGCTGGTCCCATTGATCCGATTACAGCGGGCCCAGAACTCATACTGTGTGGCTCCCAGACTGTTCTATTTCTACATTTTGCTGCTATCTACCACATTAATCTTAGGAGTATTTTTCACAACAGGTGTCAGTAACAGGTTTTTCTGCTTAACCCTCCCCCCGTAGTTAACTGGATATAGAGTACCCCAACAATACTGTGCACACCCCACCAATTGAGGTTTATGTGCTGTAAAGGATATGCTCTAAATTTAGATCCGTTTTCTAAAGGGTATCACCGTTCTAAAATAAACAGCATTCAATTAACACTGTAGCACTGTTCCTTTTATTTTTGAGTCCACACTGGCAGCTTTCAGAAAAACAACCTTCAAACATTTAATGGCAATAATATTTATCTAATGAAATACCACACCACATACACACAGAACAAGCCCTTCCGATCTGCTAACCTTTTAAGCAGTAAATACTTCTGATTTTCCAAATACAAGACTCCAGTGAGCACATTCAACACTGCCATTTCATTTCAGTCCAGTTAAGAATGCAACCCTTATCCATTGGGGGGATATTTACCTTCCCGTTTTTGAAGCATCAGCTTGAGTTTATTTCCACTTATGCCACCTAAAGGAATGAAAACAGAAATCGGTCTCAGAGTTGCACTGTGCCCGTTAATTTCTCAAGCACAAAAATCAGAACTGGAAAAAAAATCCCTGCATGCCCACATCTTGATTTGGCAACTTGGTAGTATTTCAGTATTTAATGCTTGTTGCATTCTCTGTGGTGCACGAAAAACAACGCAGGCTGCCCATGGCTAAAACTGGTGACAATGACCATGGCTGACCAAGGACATTACAATTTGAGCTATTCTCTAGGAAAAGTGACACGATTCTTTCAGCCCTTATGTCTTAGTATGAGGGCCAGCAATCTGTCATCAGCACCTTGCTGCGGATTTTCACTTTTCATGATATAGTGGCTTGAATAGTGTCCCCCCCAAAATTCATATCCACCCGGAACCTCTCAATGTGAACTTATTTGGAAATAGGGTCTTTACAGATGTAATTAGTTAAGGATCTCAGGTGGTATCATGTTGGATTTAGGGTGGGCTCTAAACCCAATGACGTGTCCTTATAAGCAGAGGAGAGGAAGCAGAGAAGGCAGCCACGTGAGGACAGAGGCAGGCAGACATGGGAGTTTTGCTGCCACAGCCAAGGAACATACCTTAGTTCTCTAAAAAGTCAGCCCAGTGTTATAGCTTGCCCTGATCATCTTATAATCAGGCATTATTTCTACCATTTGCTGTTATTTCTATTCAGTTCTCAAAGTGTTTCCAATCAGCCCAATCATTTTAATAGAAAATAACATGTCTGGCTTGAAAGAACACCCCCCTCTGCCTGGTGTGCTGGTTTGAGGACCTATGGAAGCCTCTGACGCTTAAGTGCTGCGTGCAGGCTTAAGGCCTGTCCCCTGAAGGGGGAGCCAAAGCCCCCGGGGAAAAAAGCCCAGCCTCATAACTAGTGAGCAGAGCATCCTCAGGTCTAAGGAGCTGCAGTCTGGCTCCAGGATGGAGACGCCCCCTGAGGTGGTGGTGCCCACCTTCCCAGGCAGATCCTTAACCTCCCAATCCATGGACAGGCCTAAGGCCTGTGTTTGCATCTGCAAAGATACAGTTCTCTGGGAATAGGACCCATAGCTTTTGCCAGACCTTCAAAAGTGTCTGGGACCCAAATAAGATTAAGAACCTCTGCCTAAAGAATTTACTATGTAGCAGGAGGAAAAAAAACACATTCGTAGCCAAAGGTCACAAACTGGTTGCCCACAGCCGAACTTTACCTGCAAGTGCATTTTATCAGCATGCCCAGTGTTTACATAACTTGAATTTGAATGCCTCTGGGCCCAAGGCACTCAGCACACCCCATGGTCCATAAACAGCCACTTCACCTAGTAGCCCCCTATAGGCGTTTGAATTTGAGTGCGACTGCCTTTAGAACAGGTGTGCCAGCCAGGGAACCTGGTTTGGGAAGAATCTCTAGGGACCACCCTGAAGGACTGGTGGCCACAAGTGGTGTTGCTCTCCGTCTTCCGTAGGAGGGCTGGGTGTCTGCAGGACAGTGGGCTATGGTATTAGCAGAGTGTGCAGCAGCCTATCAGAGAATTTAGTAGTTTTCGCTGTCTGTGCTCATGTCAGGCTACAGTGGTGTGGTTGTTTAAAAAACAATTGCAATGCTAGGCTGCATTAATAAAAGGATAGCATCTTGCAGAAAGGAATTAATTGTCTCCTCTGTTCCGTCACTCCTCTGAGCAGACCACCCCTCTACTATTTGGTTCAGATCACATCTTACTTTCAGAAAGTCACAGAAAACTTGAGTTGTGGTCAGAGAAAAAACCCAGGGAGCAAAGGACCCAAATATGTGTTATATGAGAAAAAATTAAAGGAATTTAGATGTTTAACCTACAGAAATGAAGCTTCTGGGAGGAGAGCTAAGGCTCTAAATTGCCCCCGGGCCATAGATTAGGGCATGACGTAATGTTTCCAACCCTGGGCCGCCACCCAAAGAGGAAATAAGTCTCACCAAGAGGTTCCCCATCAAGAGCTGCTAGAAGCGTCTGAGCCGAAGTAAGCGGAGATGAGCACCTGACGAGGCTACGGTGGAGGGGAGTATTAATCAGATGGGGTGGGACTACTCTTAAAGGCCGTACTTCCCTTCCAACCTCAAGAGTCAGTGAAGAAATCTATGACTACATTTGCCAAAGCAGACAGATACGTTCCTTGGCACTAGTATTAGCGTTCATTAATATCTTAACATTTGTCGATCTCTGATAACCTACGAGCTGGCACATATAGAACGAAGTATTGCTCCTCTATATGTCTGCCTTCTGAAAAGCGCTTAATAGTTAATGAGCAGAATGTGGCCTGATGTTGAAATAGACATCGGGTTTAGGCTTTTGCAAATGTGTGTCACTACGACTCCAGAAACGAAAGCCTCGCCAAATTCAGCTATACAACTGAAAAGCATGGAGAAGTCCTAAATTATGAATGATTGATGTTGCCACTGTGCCGATTACTACACATTGAACTATAAATATTAATACATATAATTGGATACCAAGCTAAATTTGTTTGAAGACAGGAATAAAGAACAAATGAATAGCTGTGATTCTTTTGCCGTAGTATGGATTTTTTGACCCCAAAATCATCAGTCACTATGTCTGAGCTGCAATAATAGGCACTCCTGAATTTATCAAATCTGCTTACCTGGCATTAGATCTCTCAGCAGATTCAGAATTGGAGGATGCCCCTTTGAAGGTGCTATTAATAAATTGATCAAGAAGGGGCAATGATCATCTTCTCCATTAAATGTTTTTGAGTGTCATAAAGAGCCACCCTTGGGACTTTCTACAGATATCAAGATCTTCATTTTACATCATAAGAACTTTCACATTGCAACTCAGTCGTGATAATATTTTAACTGACTCCTATCCCTACATCCTTGGTATGACCAAAATAAAATACAAGTCGTGTATTTTAAAGGAATGGCTTATAGCCAATGCTCACTCGTTTCATTCGGATGTGCTTCTTAACACGGGAGGAACAAAGGGAGAGGCAGATAAACCGTGTAACGGGAGAGTACTGGTCAGCCGCACTGGGGTTGTAATTTAGGACGACGGTAATCCTCCTCAGTGGAGCGGGTACCCTGCTGTTCTAGCGGCCCCTGGGCTCCAACCTCAGGGCTCCCACTGCTGCCTCCTCCCTTCCCTCCACCAGGAGTTCAGTTTGCCATACCTGTTTTGAATAAGCAAAATACAGAAGCTGAGCCGTCGAGAGAGTCTTCCATTTCCCTTAGACAGCGCCCAGCTGCTTTGTCGTGGGAAAGCACCTGTCTCAGGGACTTGGGCAAGTCGCCTCACGCCTTCCAGCCCCAGTACCCTGAGCAGTAGATCTGGGGTCCCAACACCTGCCTCTCAGAGTTGTGAGCCTCAAAGGCGCTCATGCATGCGCGAGGCCACTAGCGAACCAGAAAGGATCAAACACGCGGAAGGTAGTACTGTCAGGACAAAACACACTCTCTCAGATGGCCCTTCTTAAGGGGGTTCTGCACACTCACCAAACTGCTTCATTTCGGGTGTGCGTGTGAACGTGCACATTTCATAGGGAACAAACCCGGGATTTTCAACCGCTTCTCTGAGGGCTCCATGAAGCAGACAAGGTTAAGCATTTCTCCTTCAAGAGCGTCTCCCCTATCTGGGATGTGAGGCCTGCTCCAGCTTTGCAGGAGCTTGGCCCAGCTGGGAAGTGCCTGGAAGAGAACTGCCTGGACGCGATTCTCAGTGAAGCTGCCTTCTGGCTTCCTCAGTCCCGGAGGGCAGCACCGTGTAAAGCTCCCATTATCCCTTTGCTTCTTTCTTAGGCCTGAAACACTTCTTGCCCCTCCCTCGGACCTTCAGCCCTCATTCTTTCCCCAGGTTATCACGCATACCTGAGACCCTGCCCTTGACCCGGGTACTCAAGTCTGCCTGTCCAAGCGCGCCACTTTCCACTCGCGCAAGTGCAAAGCCCAAGAGCCCTATCACCCCTTGGCCCTTGCCCGGGCTCGGGATGGGTCCCTACGCCCCCAACCTGTCACCGATCTCCCTTCCCAGCGCCCCGGCATCTCCCCACTTACCTGGGCCCAGGCACAGCAGCAGGAGCAGCGCCAGTGCGCTCATGGCCAGGACGGCGGGCCGCGCAGAGGAGGCGGCCATGGCTGCACCGGGTGGGCAGGAGGGAAACGCGCGCACCGCGAGCCGCTGCGCGGGAGGACTGGGCGCGGGAGAGAGGGGCGCCGGCGGGCGGGTGCTCCCTGCGTCCCTGCCGGGGCGGGACCGCCGGGCGGGCGCCGAGCCAACGGGCCACGGGCCAAGCGGCCGCGCTGAGCTCCACGGAGCGCTGCTCCGAAATGCCAAGGCCACGGATGCTAGCGATGCTGGGGCCACCGAGGACCGCCGGGGGCAGGGTGCAGCGCGGCCGGCGAGGACAAGCGAGTCCAGAGAGGGGCTGGAGGCACCAGGAGAGAAAAGGCTCCAGGCCACGGGAAGGAATGGGGGAGATGGACCGCCCGATCCCAGCTCCGGTCTCTCGGCCTCTCCCCCTGCCCTAGCCTCGCTGGCCTTCTGCCCCGCTGTTCTCCTCGCACTCGGCGCTGATACCTCCCTGCCTCCCCATCGCGCTCCCTCCCCTCGCAGGGCCTTGCTCCTGCCTTGGCTTATAATGTGGCCTTTGGAATTTCCTTAATTCCGACGCAGCACTTACAGATGCCTTTGGCAGCGTTGTGTTTTGTGGTATTTTGAAAGACTCCACAGTCTGGGTTCAGAGCTGCAGTCCAGGAAAACATCTTACCCCAACTACTCCAATAGAAAAGCCTTTCATACCAGGGGCGGTGAGCTCTGTAGGTGTCCGCAGAACAAATGCGCCGCGGTGTGCGCTCCGTACCCCACGCGCGCTTCGGCGATACTAAAGCGAGGCCCAGTGCCGTCCCAGGACCAGGCCTGGGCGAGTACAGAGGACTCTGAAAGGCAGTGTGGTGCCGTGAAGGACAACTGAGACGGACTTGTCCCAACCGACCTGGAGCGGGTCACCTCATTAATCTTCGCCGCCGCATCTAGGACATGCCTAGCGATTGAAATTACCTTTAGGGGCTTACTTCTAAGATCTGCTCTGAACTCAGCTGATGACCTCTTTTCTTCATCTGGTTTCTCACTTTTTATACCTTCCAGGGGTAAGTGCTTACTGTCTCGCCATATAATTAGCTCTCCAAGTAATGAAGTTGGATTTCTCCAACAGACAGGGAGAAAGAAGTGTGTTCCTACTGAGTGGGCACGGGCAGATGGTGGCCGCTGAAGAAACAGTGAAGAGGGTCTGAGGGAATCACAAGGACTGGAGCTGCACAGGGTCCCAAGGGGCCGGAGAGAAGCTGGAACACGATGCTGTACATCAGTGATTGTAGGGAAATGGTTATAAACCCTTGGGGAAACTGTGCAGTAGGGGGTAGGATGAAAAAAAGCAATATATTTACCTTTGCCGAAGGACAAGAAGTTTACTATTAGGAAGAAAACCAAAGCAAATAGAAAACCAGTGTTCTGTTTGGATTGGTTTAGAACATACACGAAAGATACTAATCATAATCTCTCACTTAGCTTGTGGAGATCATCCCCCTGCCCCCAAAACGCCAACAGGATCTGCTTCAAATATGACACTGCAATTCCCTCTCCTGACTCAGGGCTGGTAACTGCAGCTGGAAGACAGAAGTCACCTCCCGGATGGGTTCCCTCTCCATCTTTTGGAAGGAGGCCTACGTTTCCCGCCCTCCCACCCATTGCTTCCCCTTTACTGTTGAAAACGCAGAGCGGCAATTCTATTTTTTGTTGATTCAAAGATTCCGAGGAGAAAAAGGTCTGCTTTAATCAGCTCATACAGTTGTAGGATTTGAAGACAAAGTAAATATTGAATCCTAACTTTTTATAAACCTATATTTAAAAAAAAAAAAACAAACCTGATTATTGTTTTAATGTAGAACTGGTAAGACAAATCAAATATCCTGCAGAAAAGTGTTTTGAAATAATTGCCAATAAGGTGAGAAAAACATTTCCTGAGGATTGGGCCCTGATTCCTCTGCCCGGGGAAAGGATGGAGGTGAGCTCAGTCGCCAGCCTCCTCAAGCTGCTCCAGTCCACATCCGGGGCTGGGAGCAGCAACCGCCTCCACAGGAAGGGCAGTGAGAAGAGTGGCCAGCAGGGTATACTGAGGGTGAGTCTTGTTTTGAAGCTAAGTCTGCACTTTCTCACCAAGAGGATAAAAGTGATGGCCGTTTGCTGTAAAGGACCCATTTGGTAACCACACAGGGCTTCGATGTCTCCCTGAATGCCTACCCACTTTACAAAACAAGAGTGGTTTCCAGGAGCTTCTACAGTTCCCAGATACATGGCGCATCACACATCCTAAATAATGACACAATTCTCCATCTCTGCCATTAATAGAGACAGCCTCCTCATGTACAGTTTTTATTGGAATGTAACAGAATACAGAAAAGTGCGGAGATCCAGTATACAACACGATGATGAAGAAACCGCGTTATCAGCGCTCTAGGGGCGCACGTCCCCCCGTCCCTCCCCACCATATGACACGGAACATAATAGTCTAGTGTGAAGCAATCCTCTTTTAAAAACATTTCATTGATATTTTATTTTCATTATATCAAAAAGAAAAAAACCTCATAACATAAAGACTTATGGTTACCAATAGGGACACTAGTTAATAAAAAGAAGTGTTAAAAGCATAAGATTCATGATAGTGTCAATTTAATCCAGTTCAATTCAGTTCAATCCTGTATCAATATCTATTTCTCAAAATGCTTGCCGGACATTTTTGCCTAGACGATATTGAAATGTCTTCGGCTGCAGTATCCTTGTCTGCCTTACATGTTGTGAGTAACACTTTATCACCCCCACTAGACCGGCACAGAGCGTCTACCCATCTCGTTTTCGTCTGTTTCCCTCCATGCTGAGTCTACTTGGATTTTTACTCAGCAGGGATTTTTTAAGTTATTTTATTGAGGTCGTATTGATTTATAACATTGTGTAAATTTCAGACATACATTATTATATTTCAGCTCTGCATAAACTGCATCGTGTTTACCACCAATAGTCTAGTTTTTATCCATCACTGCACATATGTGCCCCTTTACCCCTTTTGCCCTCCATCCACCCCCTTCCCCTCTGGTAAACACTAATCTGTTCTCTTTGTCCATATGTTTGTTTATCTTCCACATATGTGTGAAATCATATGGTGTTTGCCTTTCTCTACTGAGTTATTTCACTTAGCATAATACCCTCAAGGTCCATCCATGTTGTCGCAAATGGCACGATTTTGTCTTTTTTATGGCTAAGTGGTATTCCATTGTGTATACATACCACATCTTCTTTATACCTTCATCTGTTGATGGGCACCTGGGGTGTTTCCAAGTCTTGGCTATTGTGAATAATGCTGCAATGAACATAGGGGTGCATAGATCTTTTCAAATTAGTGTTTTCATGTTCTTTGGACAAATACCCAGAAGTGGATTAGCTGGATCATATGGTATCTCTATTTTTCATTTTTTGAGACATCTCCACACTGTTTTCCCTAGTATCTTTCTCTCTCTCATAAACATGGAAGTGTTCAATTGTAGAGGAGGCTGGGGAGGAAAGGCTACTTTGATCAGGCACCCATGGCCATTACTGTCACTTCTTTCAGTAAGAGGTTCAAAGGTGTGACGTGAGTCCCATGTTGCCCATTAAGTAGCAAGCAATGAGTAGTAGGTAGCAGGGGCCACTCACTCTGCCTTCACAGGGGCTGCTAAACTCAGATGCTCTGGCTGCAGACTCTCTGTCAGCCCTTGATATCTAAGTTCCTTTCCATTTGTTTATTTGTTCAACAGGATTTGCTCATAAAACACTAACTACACAGGAAGCACTGTGAAAAGTCCTTTTGTCCCTGTTTACTTAAATTCGTCATCCCCCTCAAGTGCACGGCTCTTCTTTCTGCCTCTGCTAAAGCAGTCTTCATGCCGGTGTTTCTCTTAGTCTCAAAATCCTCAAGTGCTTGGTAATGCGCATTCCTGGGCCACGCTCCCTGGAATTCTGATCTAGTCAGTCTTGGGTGGGGCCCAAGTCTGCATTTTTTAAAAAAAAGAAGTTTCTAGGGGCTGCTGATGTAAGCAGTGCTGAATGCACCCTGAGACCCTCAGCTCCCTTGGCTCTCCACTAAACTCACCGAATTTCCTTGGTATTTGCCTGGCCTCACTCACCCAACAATGTACATTTTCTCGCCCATTTACCATAGCAGCCCCCAGGGGCTCCATTTCTGCGATTTGCCATAGTAGCTAAGCATACAGACTTTGGCTTCCAGTTCTTTCTGTGTTATGTACTAACCATGTAAGTAAACCACGTGTCCTATCTAGGCCTGCTTCTGTAAAATGGAGGAAATATTTCCTAGCACGTTGAGATCAGAGACCACATGTGCAGAGCCTGGGATGCAGTAAGCCCCCAATGAATGCTAGGAGTGGTGTTCCTTACCAAAACGCCGCTGCATTCACAGTGCTCTGACACCTGTGTGACACTGTGTGTGCCTTCCCCTCTTCACCCTCCAGCCTAGTCCCGGCACTCAGGAACCTTCCTTTTGGATGAGTTCCAGTCCACCCCACACATCATTATCATACATTATCAGATAGACCTTCTCAAATACAGCCCTGACATGGCGCCCCCACCTCACAATGCTGCAGACCTAAGTGGCCCTCTCTCTCTCACTTCCAGTTCACAGGAAATACGGTGCTAGAAGAGCAGGCTAAGTGACAGACCCGGTGAGGGTGCCATGAGCCTAATGCACACTGGGGGTGTTCTATAGGACAAATACCGTGAGAAAGAGGGCAGGGTCTGGCGTGGAACTGCCTCTGATTACAAGAGGCCTCAGAGACAAATCGCCCAAGTGCAGTGTTGGACCCAGCTTGACTCTGACTCCAACAAACCAAGAATAAGGCAACAATAAGGGACATTTAATAAGGAAAATTTGATCATGGACTGGGTTTCATATTAAGATTGTTAATTTTTTTAGGTGTAAAAATGGTTTTACAGTTCCATTTTTAAGCCCTTATCTGTTAGAACTGCAAACCGGAATATTTATGAGTAAAATGATATGATGTTTGGGATTTGCCTTAAAATATTTCAGGAAAAAGGACTGGCAAATATTGATAATTCTTTTGCCAGGAGACCCTTATACATTGCTTGAGCTCCAATTGAAGTGTACAGAGGATCATTATACTATTCTCTGTGTGTATTTACAAATTTTCATAAGAAAAAGCTAAAAAAATGTAGAATCTTAGTGGGGTTCTATTGGCTATGGAATATACAACATACACATGACCTGCAGACTCTCTATTTAGCTCTTAAATATGTATAATAGTT